GGGAAGAGCTTCTCTGTTAATGATGGCAATTGCTTTAGATCATATTTTATTTCCACTTTCTTTTTTGCTTTTTATTGGGGATAACATCTCGATTTCATAAGACAGAATATAAAACATAAAGCAAATGAGGACAGAGTAGTAGAAAGAATTATAGTTAGAAGGTAATCATCAGAAACTGAAATGGAATTCTCGAGATAAATAAGATAATTTGAATCAAAGTATACAAGATAATAAAAGTTGATGGTGGAATTTAATTATTCCCTTAAATCTATTACATGTTTATAGCATTCCTTGATCTGATCCAATGAAATATGTAATGTGGCGTTAGTTTATTTTTAGATTAAATTAAGATTGAAATTTTAAGTTATGCAAAATCCATAGAATGAGGTCGAATTTTAAAATTGTAACAAAACTTCTTCATTCTCTGAGAAAAACGATTCAATATCAATATAATAAATCTTTCCACCTGAAAATATTTATTATTCTGTTAGATCATCAATCATTAGACTGCAATCTTAACCTATTTATGCAAAATTACAATTACAATAACGAGATTAACATTGAGTGTCATGTTGACAATCCCTTATATATCGTTAATAATTACAAAATGCATTAATTGGAATTTATTTATTATATTCTTACAACGATATCGGCTTCATAAGTTGATTGGAAACCAATATAGGAAGATTCATCATATTAATAGATTTGATAGTAATTTGATATTAATAAGTTGATTGATTATTTCTGCAGGATTAAATACTGCGTTTATTTCATTTGATAGGAAAACCAATTCACAATGCATCTAATTAAATAGTAATACTCACTTTTCTTCAGAGAGTAGTTACATAAAGTCAGATTGGGTCGGCTTTATGATGCAAATAAATAGAAAGGGTCCTACTTGTTTTTGATCTGTAAATTGGGATTCCAACGTTATTTTTATTTAATTATTGTTTAAATTGAAGGGCATTGTGATAAAGTTAATTCCTTTGAATTAATTTTGTTGGATAATTGGCCATGTACGTACCCATCCGAGTAATAGGTATAAACATAATATCATAATTATAAATATAAAAACAGTTTGGCAATTGAAAGTTTAGAAAACGGGTTTAGTTAGGAACCAGCAAAGAATTAGAATAAAGAAATTGGTTAATCCAAATATATATATATAAATATTTAATTAATATGAATGCATCTTCAAAACCATTCATTATTAGACACATTCAAGAGAACTATTTGGTGTCATCCGATTCTTCTTCTTTCGATGCGATTGTGGAGAAAAGAATATAATTTGTACAAGGGGCAAACACCTTCATAGCAGTAATTATTAATTTGAAAATAATAGGTGATGTTGAGTTATGATAGTCTGTAACATGGATTCCAATTTTTCCAATATTATGATAAGTGTCTGTCCTATGCGTATATGATTGGAGCTTTGTTGATAGGGAATATATTTTGGATTTTGTGTTCAATTTTTGGGTTTTATTCAATCGATGCCAAGAATTCCCAGAAAATTCATAGGTATCAACCATATAAGACTAGGGGTATTATTTGGCATTATTGTGGGTTTTGTTTACAAGGATTCTTGTCTATGGATATATGGCATATCAAATGAATTAGTTTAATATCTACCCCCAATCTGAACAAGCTATAAGTGACATTGTCTGTGAGTCACTCAATCAAACAGGATTGATTATAATGCAAATCACAATCGAATCAGTAGTTTTGTTGATTATGATCTACTTCTCTCGTTCAATCAGATATTACATAAAATGTAAATTTCAAATATATTATTAGAATGGGAAGTCAATGAAAAGTCAAAGAATTGGGCAGGAATATGAATTAATATCAATCATAAGATCTTCTATAAATCATTATTTTAATTTCTTCTATTCAAAAATTTCTTTATATTTCTTGCATTTCAAAACACAAGTCTTAATTACACTCATCAACAGAAAGTCATTATGGTTGAGTAATAAACTATAAATGATTCCTATTAGTTCGTTATAAGTTATTACTAATTTTAGGTCTTCAAATTCATAGACTCTTAGTAGTTAAATACAATTTTATTCTTAATCCAAATTCTTTCTAATTGCTTTAATAATTCTGAATCCATCGCTATTAAATAACTTGAAAATTAAATCCCCATTGATTTCACTTCTCCTATTGAGTGCACTCTATATCAATCTTAATTTATGAAAATTTAAAAAATGAATCAAATTTACAAAGGCTAATAGCGAGAGTAGATCATGATAAATACTAATATATTTTATGAAAAGAGTTTAATGAATTTGTCTAGAGTTTTGAATTCAATTTAATCTATAAAATAATTAATATATAACTGTTCTAGATGATAGTCAGAAGAGATCGCATTCATCATCAAGGCAAAACTAATCGAGACTTCAAGTACACTGTTTCATTTCATTCAAGGATGTAGGATTCATTGAAAAATACTTCACATAATCAAAATAGTTCTTTAGATGGAGATAGAATAGCTACATTATCTATTCCCAAAAATAAGAAGTTCTCAGAAATCTTAGACCAAAAATCTAAAAGAATTGTACAATGCAAAGATCCAGTTGAAGAAACTAAAACATCTGCCAAAAAGTTTTACTAACATCATTTGATCGGCTATCCAAGGTATTCTTCGTTGTGCAAATTAGATCCTCCAATTTAGAAGAGAAGGAATTGATGAAACGAGTGTTTTGTGGTGATTCTAATACACTCTTCTTTGATGAGGAACACAGACAAAGTTAAGAAGGTCCAATTCATAACAAATGTATATTCTACAATACTAATTTATTAGAAGAGCAAAAGGAGAAATTGGCATAACAGAAAAGAGAGGAGAATACCACAGGAATACAAGAAACCTAATTAGTTGGTTTGGAGAATAAGAATACACTTGAAGGCAAAGTGGACATCGAAAAAGTCAGAGACATCAGAAGAGCTATTAGAAGGAGGTATGCCAATAGAAAAAACTTCTAAAAGATCTTCAATTTGTGGGATGAAGATTCTAATGGTGCTGTTAGTGTTAAAAATCTATACAACATGATATAAAGATTAGGCATAAATATTAACATTGACGAGGCAAGAGTTCTGTTGGCTAGTGCTGATATGGATGGCTCTAGCGATTTGGGATTAGATGAGTTTCTGGATCTCATTTTCAATGATAAGGATGCTCTTAATGTAAATTTAAAGGCATTGCCAGCATTAACTGAGGATGAAAAGGATTCCTTAATTAAAAACCAGGAGACCATTGATTATCTCAGAAAAGATGCTATGTAAGCGAGAGATAGGAGACATTAAAATCAAGTCAATCTCATTCTTAAAAACAGAGTAATTTTAACTCACTATAATTTAAGTTATAATAATTGGGACAATAATTAACTATGCAGGATGAGTTGTAGAAAGGATATATAAGTTATGGAAGATTTGAAAGAGTCATTAAGAAGTTAGAAATAGATCCCAGTATATTATCTGAATAGGATGTCAAAATCCTGTATGAGAATTTTAAAAACCAAGATGACACCTTTGATTATAAAAAGTTCTTAAATCATTTGAAATCATTCTAATTGAAGGAAGAAGTTTACGACGATCCATATCAAAACAAAAACCAAGAACCAGTAGATAAAAAGTAGCTATTGCTAAAAAGTATGAAATATTAAGAGGATCAACTCATTACACTATTTGACATCACAAGATTAGATGCCTACTCCTTGGAGAAGATGAAGAAAAAGACTAAAACCCTTGTGAATAAGATCTAGAGATATATCCCATCACATACTAAATTTGAAGAATTTCTAAAAGGTAAAATCTAAGGAAATAATGTGAATGTGAAGGAGTTCTCCCATGTGATCGTGCAATTCTTGGAAAGTGTAAATGAAAGATACTAAAAATTCGATCTTGAAAGCATGCTCAGTGTTTTGCAATTTGGCTAATATGAAACATAAAAGGCTGACGAAATTGTTAGGATATTGTTTAAGTATTTGATAGATCCACTTAATTTAGTGAAACTGACTAGGAATTTTACGATAGGGCTTAGTTGAGACAGAAAGGACCAGCTCCACCTGAAAAGGTATCCAAAGTTGACTAACCACTCCAAGCAATAGAAAATAAGGAGTAAGATATTGAAAAATAAATCTGTATGAATTTATTAATACTCCGATAGAGTTTTATAACTAGGAAGCAGGAATGACGTGGTACCTACCCAACCAAACTAAGGAGTTGTCAGATGTGTTGATGAAAGTTGAGAATTCTCTGTTTAATAAATCCGAAAGAGCGTATAAACTATTTAAAGATTTTGACAAAGATAAGGATGGATACATCTCGCAGTAAGATATGAAATAGAAATTGGAGGAAATGAATATACTCAATGGATAAGAAATCGGAGTATTAATTAATTATGTTGATCCGACTAACAAAGGATATGCAACCTTCAATGAATTTCATGAGAAGCTCAGAGCTGGAATGACCATTTTCGATACTGCAGGGAATCAGTTGATTTCAATTAATAGTTAACCAGGAAAGACATTTCAAAGTGCAGCCAAAGCCTTCTTGCCTGAATTGTCAAGATTAACTGAAGAATTCAAAAAACCTTTTAGACCCCAGACCAATCATACCGACATCAGGCCTTCCACGAGGTTTGGAGCCACTCCTGCTTTCAAAAACACCTTTGAACACTTTGTTCCTCCGAAGACTTCTCCCATGTTCATGACTCAGGGGGAGAGATTCTCAAAAAACAGGGAATAATTTATTTAAGATGAGAAAAGCCATAACAACCAAAAATATGAAAGCAAACTTAATAGAATACGACAATATCATCAATCTATAGAATAAAGAATTTAATCTGCATAAGAATAAAGGGATTAGAAGGATGCAAGCAATTTAAAATCCAAATAAATGGCACAATGGACATATGAACATAAAGCCCATCTTAAAAATGATTATTTATGATTAAATATATATATTTAAAAATGGGATCATCTTGTGCTAAATTTGTGTGTTAGGACCATGTGGATTCTGATCTAATGAGTTTGGAATCCAAAATGAGAACTTTGAATGAAATGAGTAAGAGTACAAAATTTTCTTCTCTGAAATTCAGTATTACCTACACAGTCCCTGTAAATTAGAAGGTCTCGGAAACAGAAATCCAGGATCAAGATCGTCCTATTCACAAAATCAATAAAAGCAAGGGGAGAATGAAAAACTTCAATTTTCAAGAAGATCATCAACAATAATTTTGGCTTTCTCAAGTTTCTCATATTACTGGAAGTCCAGCGAGCGTGAAAAGTGAAACCAGAAGAATCAAAAAGAAAAATAACCCAAAGCGAGATCTTAATTAGATTTAAAATTTAGATTTATCATTTTATATTCAGAGAATAAGTTACTAATTAGAGAATAGAGAAGTGCAATCCTAAAGAAGTATCCTTAGATCACCCTTGAATAAAAGTTTCAATTCTCTCTCAGAACAGAAGAAAGTACACTTTGCTCAAGGCACTAAGTTTAGATCTAAAAAGTCTTCACCTTCTAAAAGAACATCGCTTAATCACTTGAGAGGAAGTTTAATTTGATCGTCTTCTGAGTTTGTATTAGCAATATTTTATATTATATTTTTACCATATTCTTAAATGGGATCATGCCAAATCTAAAGACTAGAATCCGAATCTAATTCCTGTAAAGAGTCTTCTTCAAAGTGCCAATATTCCAAATCCTCCGTTATTGTGAATCAAATTGTCTAACCTACTAATGCTGAAAATAAACTTGAATTAGACCAAATAATTGAAGATGAAGAAAACTTACTTACTGTACAAACTAGAATCAAAAAGGACAAGAGATTGTACAATTTCCAAGAAGAAGAATCCCTCAAAAAAATATCCAACAGAGATGAAGTTGAATCACTCAAAATAGGAGCAAAACAAAAACGACGTCTATTTAGGACCAGTGTAACACATAGTCATTTTGATGAAATTAATTAACATTCACCACCTCTCAATCAATCTTTATAAGCAGAAAAAGAAGATGATGCGAAATCTGTGAAAAGCATATTAAAAAAAAATAGCAAATTAAAAGATAGTCTAAGTGGATCCCCAGAAACTAGATCTGTTCGCTTTGCAAGAGGCACCATCTTTAGAACCAAAAGTCAACGTTCTATTCGTCAATCCAAAAATAAAAAGCCTAATCGACCTGACACAAGACAAAATGAATCTATCAACTCTTTTGAAAATAAAAGTCCGAATTGGAAAAGACACAGGGAACAAGAAAGAGTCTAAATTACCAATATTCCTGTTCTTTTTTCTATGAATCAAAATATAGGAGTTAAAACTAAACTTTTCTCCTACTATTGAGAAATCTTCATCTTATCTCAATGTTGATAACAATTAATGAGTATTAGATTGTATTATATCATTAAATATGTTCTTTAATTAATATAGACCATGTTTAATAGAGTTGAATTTTCTAACTAATTTTCCACAAATTATTTTCATACATGTGATGATATATTATATATATATGCCTAACATTTATTCCTTTTTTACCAAAGTAACAATACCCACAGAATGGGGATTAAATTTGTCAAATAACTTAAAAAAATTACTTTTAATTAAATATATTAATTTTTTATTTTCATTTCTTTGAAAATTCATTCCTAGTATTTAATACTTAATTTTTATTTATATTTAAGTTATATCATAAAGAAATTGATGAATTCTCTTTTGATTCATTAAACAGAAAACCTTAAGGTTACTAAACAATGATATCTTAGCCAAATTAAATAGAAATAAGAAGGCACATGATTATTCATAATTAGATACATATTTTGAATACAATTATATCTATTGATTTTAGATTCCATTTAAAGGAAAAAGGAGGTTCTATTATTATAATTCATATAGTTGTTGAAGCATCTTCACTTTAGTAGTTATTTTGGCTATTGAGATTTCATAAAATGTATTATGAGTATATTTCTGAATTGATATTATTTTCATATTGATGAAGAATAGAAAGTGTTGATTATGGGACTTCAAAAAGACTCTGAGTATGATAGAGGTTAATTACAAAAAGTACCTAATCATCATATTAAGAACAACAATAAATTGTTTACAGTATATAGTTAAACATTTTAGTATATCTCTTGATATTAGAAAAGTTGCTTGAGACTTTTTCTTTATTAAGATAAAAGTGGTTATGATTGCTATGAAATAATATCTAATATTCTAAATAAGTATTATAATAAGTACATTTATACTAATTTAATGATTCTTCATTAATAAAAATGATAGTAATTATATTCGCTATTATCTCAATTATATTGTGTGATTTTGACGAAAGAATGAGATGGGGAACCTATAAACCTCAATTAATTCATGCAGTAACACAACGGAATATGAAAACATTTAATCCGATAACCGGAGCTCTTATGTATGCAGATCATATTGGGACAGATGATCGATCACTAGTTTATAAGATCCCAGATTTAAACACCGAGCAAGTAAAAATTAATCCAGTCCATCATAATGGTAAGGACTTTAATGTTTAAGTGATAAGTGATCCAAACACAAAGTCTATAATTTAAACAACTCTTATAAAATTTCCAATAGAATCAAAAGTGAACTTTGTCGATGAAATCAAAACCTTAGTTATTGAAAAACCATTGTCATTGTTCTATGTTTTAACCATTGAGCAATTTAATCAATTCAATTTGGAAACAAGAACTTTTCAAGTGAATGTGACTAACCATGGCATTAGAGTTAGCACTTACAATGAGGATGAAACAAGAATAGAACACTTCTTTATCACGATAACTGTAAACGATAGAAATTATTAATACAATTGTACCGATGAGAAATTGTCAAATCTAACAATAAGGACTTTGTTTAACGATTACATTTTCAATTATGATCCTCGACCATCCTTGATGTAGGCAATCTTCTCTAATAGTACAAATGCCAACGATTCGAATTTGGTGGCCATTGAATTCAGAGCTTAACCTGGAGATAATGTAATTATTCAAGTAACACAAACTGATAAATATACCCCTGATTATGGATTTGATAATCTGGAATAGTTGAGTGATAGTTTGGCAGCAATCAACAAGTTCAATTTTAAAAAAGTATTTGGAACTGATAATAAATGTGCCTATTCTAGTTTTAGTAATTTGATGGCAGGTTTATTATTCACTTATGGAAATCTCAGTTGTGTGATAAATAAAGATACTTGCACAGCCTTTAAACCAATGTTGAGTCATACACCTTCAAGATTTGGATTCCCTAGACCCTTTTTATGGGATGAGGGTTTCCATAATATGATTGCTTGTAAAATCAACCCAGATATTTGTCTATAAAGTTTAGAAGATTGGATCAATACTATGTCAATTGATGGTTGGATACCTAGAGAATAACCAAGAAGTGAAGAATTGAGATCATACATTCCTTGGCTAAAGGAGGATCCTAGAGAATCCAATCCGCCAACATTCTTCTTTAATTTTGAATATCTGATTGATAACCATCCAGAATATAAGGAACGCATAGGAAAAACCTATCTAAAGCTATTCTCCTGGTACAATAACTGGTTCAGAACCTAAGCGATTTTCAATGATAAAGGCAAGTTTTCTGGATTTTTAAAGTGGTGGGGTCCTGATGAGGATAGTAATTTGGGCTCAGGTCTTGATGATTGGCCAAGAACAGATGGGAGCAAGGTATCAAAATATAATATAGATGCTTAAAGTTGGGGGTACTTTTTCACTTATCATATGGCTAAACTTGCTAGACTCTATGATGTGGGAATTGTTAACAATCTTGAACAGAGATTGGAACTAATTTTGAATAAGATGAATGTATTTCTCATAATCACTATTTATAGTCCGATATGCTGGACCCAACTGACTTAATTTATAAGGATATCCTCTATTATCCTAACACAGATGATTAAGTATTTTACTCTCCTCATAGGGGGTATGTGAACCTATTCCCTCTAGGATTGGGACTAATCGACAAGTCAAGAGTTGACATTATCCAATAACATATCAACTTTATGAGGAGCAGTACTATGTGGACACAGTTTGGTATTAGATCTTTAGAAAGTAACAGCACGGAATTCAGAAAGAAATCTAATTATTGGACTGGACCTATTTGGGTGAACATTTAATTTTTGGTGTTGAGAGCATTAAAATTATACTATTGGGAAATTGATGGAGTATAATAATTCTATCGCGATTTAAGATCCAATATGATTGAGACTATATGCTCACAATTAGAAACTAGGGGATATTTCTATGAGCACTACAATCAAAACTTAGATGGTTTAGGATAGGGTAATAGACCATTTAATGGATGGACTAGTTTAATAACTTTAATAATAGCAGAGAAGTATTGAAATATAATAAAAAATACCTTAATTTATTTGATTTTAGAAACTTAATAGATTAATAATGCAAACGTATTGTAAGATATGCATTTATTAAATCTATTCATTTCAAGATAGAGGACTTGTATCATTAATTTAATAGAATTGTTAAAGGGATTCATTTGCATCTGTTATTTAATAATTGAAAAAAGATCTTTCTTGATATCACAAGATCGTTCATATTCTTACCCGACAAAAAGAATCTGTGTAATTCTATATTCAAACCATTAAAAATTATTCACCAATTTGAATTCCTTCATCTTTATTCATAGTCCTTATTTTGCATTTAATACTATTATTAAATATAATGTTATATGAAAATTTATAAGAGTAATTACAAGAATGCCTTCCTGAATATTAAAGATAGTTTGTTATACAAAACTACTAAAAATTCTTAGATGCTTCAAAAGAGAAAGACCCAGTGTATTAATAGTTTGTATAATTGATTGATAAATTCCAATCAGCATCAAGTTAAATAGAAGTAAGAATTAGATTTAATGGGAGGTTATTTCTAAGGACATTGAGAACCTAAAAAATGCTAAGGCGAGATGTAAATAGTTGCTGGAGGAATAAGTCATAAAGGTTGAGGATGTAGTTGAAGATGTATAGGCTGAAGATCAATTGACGGAAATGCTAGATAATTTATCCATGTTCACATTTGAGAAAAATTATGAATAGGCTATCGAAAGTTATAAATTGTTGATTGAAACCCATTAATCGAAGAAGTTTATGAAATTGATTAAGAAACCAGAAATCAAGAGATAATTGGATGAAGCATTCAAAAGTCTTTGTTAATCGATATTTAATGATTACATAAGTCAGAATGCCTAATTTGATTCATCTCAATTAATGCAATACTTGATGGTGTTGAATTAGGTTGAAATGCTTATCAAAGGGTATCTGCAAATACAATAAGATAAATTTGTAAATTGGATTGAATAATAAAATTAATTCAATGAAAAACAAGTTTAATAGTTTGTAGGGAATATTCTAAAAGTGAATCAACAATATGAATCAATATTCGGAGAGTATCTGAGGAAAAACCAGTTGTTGTTTTCTTTTATTTCTATATGGAATTAGTAGATTATCCAAAGTTACTTCGATAAAATTCAAGAATACTTTTTTTAGGATGTTGTGTCATTTGACGATATATTTTCTAAATCTAAAACCTTGTTGAATACATTTTCTCAATATCAATCCAAAGGAATATCAATAGACTTTGAGATTCAAAAGGAGTTAGCCATTTATATTGAAAATAAGGTGAATGAGTTATTTGGAGTGTATGGATAAAAGATTAATTAGTATATGCATTTCAATGAAAGTAAGTTGGTGAAGATTGAATTCCTGCCTAATCTACTTGAAAGTGATAAGTTATTAGAATCAAAGGAGATGGAGATGTCTAACAAACCTTAGGAGATTAAATTGAAGGCTTCGGCCACTATAAAAAGTACCTTTGATTCACTCAGCCAAGGAGTATCGATTAGTTCTTGTTTCTTTTGGAATATAGTGTTTAAATTAGGAGATTCGGCTTTGAATTTTTTTAACCCAGAACAATACTCTTTATTATCCACAATGTTGAATGAATCAATTTCTAAATTATTGATACTATTCATAAAAGATTATTTAAGTGCAATAAGAACTAATAGGAAGGAAGGTTAACTATTGTTTGAAATAGGAAATTTATTTGGAAATTATAATTTAAATAGTACATTAATTAATTATTTATCAACGAGAGCATCTAATTTACCTATTCAAACCAATAGCGAATGGAAAAGGACGATTCAAGATTGGGTGGATGAACTAAAATAATTGATATAATAACATTTTAAAAATACTTATTTGTAGATGTTACCATTTTGGATTTGTGAGCATGGAAAGATTTACATATAGAAGCAACTTGTGGTTCAAAAGCCATCACCATTGTTTTTGATGATCGGATTTTCAATTATGGAAATGAACAATCAGTTTAAATCACGGATACCTCAAGCACCAACACTTTATTATTTAGGGTTGCTATGGGATTATACAAAATATTTGTTGGAATATTCATTATATTGGTCATATCACAATTAAGGGAAAAACAATGAGGTGTTTTTGTTAGATGCTAAATCAAGAAATGAACTGAAATTAGATATGAACTAAATAAATCTACAATTCCAATAGAGTTCTATAAAAATACAATAAATATCACAGGATGGATTGAAGTAACTGATATTGGACACTCAATTTGTTTTTGATCTTTTCAATCGATTCATAGGGTAATTGCAACAAAATGATTAATTCTTACCGAAGTTGGTGTCATTTTACTGTAAGGATAAGAAATGTTAATAACCGCAGATGAATAGTTAATCTTTCGAATAGTATTTCAGTTAAAGTTTTTAATAAGATATGATACAAGCAAAAAATTACATCGAACAACAAAGAAAGAGTATAGTGACATGATATTATTTGATTTAAATTTATAATTAATTTAATGGGTTTATGTAGTACTAAATTGCGAGCTAAACATGCAAAGTTGTCTGAAATTCGAAAATTTTCCAAATTAAACATTCACTAATTCTATCGTTTCTCATAAATATTGGGTAGTGGTAGTTTTGGCACAGTTAAGTTAGCATTTAGCTTAGAATAAGAAATGAACGGTCAAGAATCAAAAAGCTATGCTGTGAAATCCATTGACAAGGTATTTTAACTAAAACAAACTTAGCATCGTATTGGGAACAGGTTGCATTTGATCAACAGAGAACTAGAAATATTAGTATAACTAGATCATCCTAACATAATTCGAGTGTATGAGACTTTTGAAGACTTGAGATATTATCATTTTGTGATGGAATATTGTCGAGGAGGCGAATTATTTGAAAGAATAGTCAAGAAAGGAGTTTTCTCAGAGAGGAGATGCTGCATCATAATGAAACAACTATTCTCAGCCGTTCATTACATGCATCAATTGGGAGTAACCCATAGAGATTTGAAACCTGAAAACTTAATGTTAGTCTCTCCAGATGACGACTTCGATATCAGAATCATTGATTTCGGATTGAGTAAGAAATATCCCCCTCCTCAATCAACAAATTAAGGTAGATCTTAAGTGCGACAATAAACTAAGGTAGGAACACCCATCTATGTGGCTCCTGAAGTCTTATTAGGTAATTATTCTCAGACTTGTGATGAATGGTCTTTGGGATGCATCATGTATGTGTTACTCTGTGGAGAACCCCCTTTTTTCAGCAACAATATCAAACTATTGGAAGACAAGATCTAGAATAAGGAGGTCTAATTCAGTGAAAAAGTCTGGGCAGAAATATCAACTGAAGCTAAATCCCTCTTGGTAAAATTACTTGATAAAAACCCAAAAAAGCGTATCACTTGTGCTTAGGCTCTCTAGAGTTAGTGGGTCTTGAATTTTAATACCACAGCTCCTCTTAGAATGGAATCTATTCCAAATAATGAACATGAAAATGAAAAAACAATTCGTCTTCTAAAGACCTATGGCAACATTTCCAAATTAAAAAAAGGAACCTTAAACATCCTTTTAAATCAATTAAATGAGTTGCAAATTCAATCTTTGCGATTCAAATTTGAAGAGTTCGATAGAGATAATAGTGGTACCATTTCTGTTAAAGAAATGACTAAAATTATGAAATAGTTAGGTTTAACTGATACAGAAAAAGAAATATAGGAATTGATTAAAAAATTTCACATTTTAAAAAAGTCTGACTCATCATTTGATGATCTAGCTATTCATTACTCTGAGTTTATGATGGCCTTGCTTAATCAACAATAGTACTTAAATGAAGAAAGAATATGGGGATTATTCAAACAATTCGACATCGATAATAAAAATTATATTACTACTATGGATGTCCGAAGAGCATTTGAAAGAAGAGGGAAATCCTTGTCCACTGTCAAAATTAATACCATGTTTAAAGAAATAAGTTTAGATAGTTAAGATAGAATCGACTTCCAAAGATTCCAAGATATTATGCTAGCTGACTCTCTCAAATCTTAAGATATTGATGTCGACATGTATAATATTAGTAAAATGCCTACTAATATTCCACAAAACCTCCCATACCTAAATTAGCCATTGGGAGACTTCAATATTGGTTTTTGAATATAATATAGTTAAATTTTAGTTTTCTAATAACATAAATTATTAGAAAATAATATATTGAATAAATAATCCCCTTTATCATCATAGGGAAGTACAAAGCATTATAATTATTAATAAATAGATACTCATTAACACTAACAATATAGTAATTAAAAATACTCAGGGCAAAGTAATTTTAACAATTATGAATTAAAAAATGATTCATATCCTTCAAATTAATAAAACAACTATTGAATCCAAAACGATAGGATTCATAAGATTATGTTATCAATTTACAGACCACTAGAGCTTAAGATACAAGACTAATCAAATAAAATACAAAAAAATACAGATGAACATTTGCAGATAAAGTATATTTATTTTTAAAGGAAAAGGAATTTTCGATTTTAGATTTCATTCAATATGCTTAAACTTAAATTGTACATTTTATACAAATACTCCTGCAAATTTTGTTAATAAAATACACTCGAATATTATGTAATTGCAACCACCTCATAATGAATATAAATAAATTTAATAACAATCGATAAAATCTATCTTAATAGCATAGGATCAATTAAAATTAATGCAAATGCTGAAATTAATATAGATATATTTAAGACTTGTAAAAAATGGTAAGAATTATTACTTTATTACCTTACTTAGTAATAAAACTATCAGATTTATATAAAGAACAATAAATTAGTTAATAAAAATTGGATAATTATATCATACGTGTGTATAAGATTCAACATTAATGATTATAATTTATGATAATTGTTAATTACAAAAATCTAATATCATTTTTCAGATAGGAGATATTCCTTCTAGTTTTTAGATGTTTTTCAAAATAATATCGCTAAGGTTAAATAAAAGTAATACTTTTTTAATTGTTAATTCTTCTAAATTGCTCTTATTGTTTTACTAAAACCATCTGTGTATTATTTTTCCAATAGCTTCTCTTATAATTTCTTACTTTATTAATAAAGATTATCAACATTGAATTCATACATAGAATTTAACGATTCATCATCGGTTCGAGAATCCTATGATGCATTTAATTCTAAGTGTCTCAAATTCTGTTATTTAAACGACTAAGCTGGTTTTCTTAATGGAAGTTTAATATTTCTATTTGATGATAATCCTCCAGCATTTAGGATATCTTCTTATATTTATTACTAGACATCCTTATCTTTATATGGATCATATTTAGGATAGTTTGTAATATATTAAATTAATTCTAGATCATTATTAATCAATTAATTCTTAACAAATTGACTGCCTTTAACACCCTTCTATATAAATGGATAAATGTGTTTAATATTATTTTATTAGCTCTGATCTACCGTTTATGGGGTAGTAGATTTCTGCTCGATGTTTTTTTTGAATTAATAATTTACATAAATCTACTTTTTGGCTTTCTAGCTTTCAATATAATCTTTGATTAGTAGTTCCTCCATGTATTATTTGGCCTTCTTATTAACGAGATGACGAATAACATGTTTTTCTTAAGGCGCTTCATATTTGACTTTATTGGGATTTTGGTGATTTCTTGAACTCAATAATTAATAAGGATTTTAATGTTTAATGATATTTACTGAGCTTCCTTTAAAAATTAATCTTTTGTTTGTTGTGATGTCTTTTTCCTCTAATTTCTTCTGTAAGTTTTGAATATATTGATCACTAATATCATACATCTATTTGATCATTCCTACATTCTTCAATTCTCTACTTCTCTTAACAAGATCTTCCTTCTCCCTCTTCTCAATTTTCTCTTCTATAAGATCTCTGATCATGTCGAATCTGTCTAAAGCCTATTATTTTTTGAGCATTTCTTCATTTCTTTAATCCAATAATTTTAAAAAAGCAACGTCATGATTACCTTCATCTGTTACTGCTGATCTGCGATAAGTTCTAATAATTTAACTATCTAATAATACACATTGATTTTTGGTCTTTTTTATTTCTTAATAACTGCTGGAATTAATTTATCGAGTTTTTGAGATTGGTTTTTTCTAATCACAAATTCTTCAGCAGATATTTCTCCCATAATATACTTAGTGAAATTGCTTCTTATGGATGGACTTATAGACATAGCATTATGAATTTGCAATGGAACTTCGTGTAAATATGCTCGATCAATTGCGGTTTCTGTATTTCTTTTCAATTAAGTCTGTTTTCTTCTCAACAAGGCTTCAGATAAAAAATCACCAAAGACATCATTCCAATTCTTTAATCTGGTATCCTTGGGAATCGAAACACCTTCACTCTCCTCTGTTTTAATTAGAATTCTAGGCACATCGTGATTGGTTGACTGAGCATTGAAGAAATATTATTTACAGCAACTGATCGAGTTGTCTATAATTATGATTCAACTGTTGTCTCATGACACTACAGAAACTTCCTTCTTTTTGGCAAAAATACTTTATTCATTAATTATTATAAATCAATTAACCAAATTTACATTAATCACGCCTATTTTATTAATCCTATATTCTACATTAGCAATTAAATTCAGATAATTATTAATTCTTATTAATTTATTACAATGTTCAGGAAAGGAAGGAATGACCCTTTAGAATTATTAAGAGATCATGTGATTCATCATAAACAAATTAAATTGAAAAGCAAAAATACAGACCATAGATTGTTTTTCGATAATAACGTTGAATTTAAATGTTCTACTGTAAATTCTTTATTTATCATTAAAAGGAAACAGCATGGAAATCTAAATCAGGATAAGAATACAATCTTGGAGCCTTGTGGTGTTTCCTAGATTGCCATTTATAGGGGTTAGAATAAAAAAATTATAGAGAGAAAGCATTCAATCTCAATTTTAAATAGGTTTTTAAGGCTGATAATTAAGACATAATTGAATATTTCACTGGTAAAGTCGACTATACGGAATGTATTGATCCAGACAAGAAGGCTATCAAAAAAGACGAAGACATCGAATTACCAAGCCAAAAAAAAGTTAAGCTTGATTAAGAGAAGGAAGTAATCTGTTAATTTAGGTAGCCACTTACTGAAAAAGAATTCAATCTTAAGGTGTTTGATGAGATTTTGAGGTTTGAAAAACCAATTACCACCAGAAATAGGTTATTTAGAGTTTAAGACAGAACTTTTGATGATATCTTTAAGACTGCCTAGAAAGTATTTATATTTGCCTGAGAATATAAAGATCTTTTAAGGGAAATATGTAGGAGTGGGAGGAGATGAAGAAGAACTCTAGTAAATACTAGGAACCAGAATTCAAGATGTGAATAAAGCTAAATAACTATCAAGTGCTAAACTATCATATTCGGTGTTGAATGAATTCATTAAATCAAAAGAAAAACCTATTATTATAGTGCCTCAATTAGCTGAATTAGGAAATGTTTGTTTGAGGAATGTGTAATAATTTTTAGAATAAGGCTAATATCTAGACCCTAATGGACTCAAATTTACCAATGAATCCAGATCTGTTTAAATTAAAGTAAAATTGAGATTGACTGACATGTATGGATTAAATTGTGATATTTAGTGAATAATAATTTATTGTATTGGATAATCCCAATACAATTAACAATTGGAAAAGAGTGGTCGCAGTATTTTTGAGAGGATCTTCTTATGAGTTGAAACAATTCCCTGATCAAAATCCTAATCAATTATTTAAAAAGTAATTATTTTTGCCACCTCAATCCTAGTATTAGAGGATATCACATCAAATTTGAAGAGGACAAAATAAAGGACATGATCAAGTAATGGAATGTTAAGGTTTTGGATTTGCACAGAAGCAAAAGGTACCAAGATATTGATGTAGTGAATGCATTTTGGGAGGACTTAGAAGCATTTCTCTTGAGACCTGCTAAGTAATCATAATAATGAGTATTTTGGATATTTAATATTTCTGTGTATTTGTATATTTTCAATGCTTTTATTAAAACACCTCTGTTGCATTTTAATATTTTGATACAAACCTATCATTTTCAACATCATAAGTTGGTAATACCAATATTCTATTCTTGTGCAATTCCTATTAGATTTTGTAATTGAGTGCATACTAAAATAATTCAATTTCGCTTTACTTATTTTCTACGATTGACACATTCCAAGAAGTCTAGTCCTTCGATTGCACACATTTTATTTGGCAAATTTTCCTTATTGATGCAAGCTTGCATTCTCTCATAAAAAGTGATGCAAGGGTTGATCCCACCAGATGTATTGATTCCAATGTATGACATTAAATTTAATTATTATTATTATTATTATTTTGATCTCTGAACATATGATAAAAATGAGATCTTTAGATACCTTCATTTATAAATACTATTTCACATATCACAACATTAATTCACTCTAAAAGAAGATTATTAACATCTCCTTATTATATCTTTATAACATTATGAACAAAATAGATCTATTAATTAAGCGATTTGATTTTTTAATTACAATATACTATAAAATTGTTTATTGATCGTTTACTATCTGTTATTGAAATCGCAATCTTAACCTACTTTCAATGCTATTAGTTATTCAATAATCTAAAAATGATATAAATGTGTATTTTTTATGCATTCTATGAGGCTTTTGTGAAAATACTATAATTCAAAACAAAAAGGAAAAATAGAGTATCTAATGGAATTTATTTATCCATCAGACAATAAAATAAAAAATATCTTTTTTTTCAGCTCCTCAATAATTTTATGTATATGTTAATATCATCCTTCTGAAGCTCCTTTAATTATCACCCTATCATTTGCCTTGTGAAACCATACGGAGATTTAGTACATCATTTAAAATTAATGGTGCATTGAATATTTCCTATTAATCTAATTCATATCAATAGCGTTTGTACAATGATAAAATAAATTGTAGATAAATGGAGTATACTCTAAGTTGATATTAGAAATATTAAATTTCTTAATCCATCACCTTTTTTGGACAACTCCATTAAATTCTATTTATTTAATTTGAATAAATAACAAATTTAAATTATATATAAACATATTATTGATCATAAATAAATAAATTGATAATTCATAATTTTTTCCAATATTTCAAATATTAATTAATGAATACATATAGCTCTGTTAAGTAAAATTTATATATATTGAAGATCTATTGAGTCTCAAATTTTAGGAAGAAGAATACAAGAACCAAATGTAGCTGTTATGTTTTGCAAACATTAACCAAATCAAAAGCATCATTCTCCAGAATCCTTTTTAGATTAATTTGTTAATTTGAAATTAGTTGAACCTTAAAAAATATTATAAAAGCAGAAACCTCCTTAGGGTTAATAGGGCAAAGGAATAGCTAACACTGTTTAACTTTTAAAACCCGCCTAATGTTCAATCTCAGTAAAAAAATAAACAAAGCGAACAATATCCCCAAAAAAAAAGAAAGCATAAACAGTTGATTGTGTTCAAATGAGCAAGCCTAAATCATAATAACAGAGAAGGGAATAAATGGGATTGGGAGAATTAAACGATAAATAAATTAAGCAACGATCGAGTAATTTCAAATTTAATTTTAGAAAAAATAAAATAAAAAGAGAAGACAACAGAACAACCCCTCAAGAAGAAACCTTATGAACCTAATACTAAGCTATAATCTTACATAATATAAAAGAAAACCTTAATTTACAATAATTACATGTAATAGTAATTGATGGTTGAAATGGAAAAATAAAGAAAGTAACGAAATGCAATTAACAAGATTGGAGAACTTAGCCTAGTTAAATTAATCCGTTAAAGATATATTTAAAAAGTGCAAGACTTAAGAGAACACTAATTTGCAACCATCTAAAGCGATTGTAAAGAGAAGGAAGGTCGAAGCCTAAAAAGAGAATGCCTAGTAGAATAATAGACAAATCAAAAATTAAAATAAAACTAAGTAGTTGCAATAAAAATTTGATGACATTTCTCATAGATATCAATAAATCCAAGATGTTAGATATAATGACCTAAATAATGTAGAGCAATGCATTTTTGAGATGGATGAAGAAGATGATTAATACTCTGCTGTTAGTGATAATTAAATGGTTCAATTAGCACTTCAAGAACTTAAAAAAATAAAACCTACTGAATATCTGATTAATAAGGTTAAATACATAATCGAAAATTAGAACAACATTGACTTAGATTTTATAACAGAATAGGATTATTAAGTAATTCAGTATCATCTTATGAATCAAGCTGCCACTAAATTATAAAGCGTATGGAGAGGGGTATATGTTCGAAAATAAATACTTTATGAATTATAGAATATGATGGAAGAAGAGTATGACAATATATCACATGAAGATCTTTCAAAGACATATTAAAGAAAACAGTTTTAATAAGAATTTATTGGAAACATATCTAATTCAAACTCTAAGGGAGTATAAGATTCAAATGTCTCTGCCTCAAATAAAATAGAAAATCGTTCTTTATAAGATTTGAATTTTAATCAAGATTAATTGGCTCATAAGTATGGATAAATCAAATAACACTTTTATTCTGAAGAGGATCAAGCAATGGATATTAAATTATCAGATTAAATCTCTGAATTAATAATGATCTAATAACCTAACAGTCCTATTGAATAGACTGAAGACTTTTCAATTTAGTTTGGGTAAATTGGGAAGAGAAATTGTTTGGAGTAGATTGATTCCTTTGTTAGAAATGAAGATGAAAAAACAAATTCATTATCCTAATCCGTAGTTTAATAAATTTAATAAGAATTGGATTCATGGAATTGTTAAATAGATACTCTATTTTAATAAAGTAATGATGGAGATACGATATCAAAAGTCAAATAATAGATCTCTTAAACAGTAATCAAAATTGTTAATTCACATTTGAAAAAGTCTAGGGAAGTTAAATAATTAAATGAAAGTGCAAATGATGAGAAAATTAGAAATCAATATGAAGCCAATAATGAAAAGCATTTTAATGATACCATTAAGAGGTTAAAGAAATCTAGAGAATTTGGTGCTGAACAATAACTATACTCGTCAAGGGAAACTGAGTAAAATATTAATAATTTCAGTTTGGAATCCCAATTAAAATTGAAAGAAAGTGAACTTTTAAATATGAGAGAACAAGCAATAAACTTAAGATATTTTAGTGAATTGAAGAAAGTTAAGCAAGATAGCAATAAAAAATAAGAATTAGACTTATGGCTTGAAAAAGAAAAAGAAGATTTAAGAAGTACTAAATAAGCAATTGAAATAAGTAGAATTAGAGAAGCTTAAACAATTTAGAAAATCTAAAGGGATCTACAGATAGCATCGAAAATTGATGAAAACAATCCAAAGATCTAAAACTTTAAAAAGTTTGTTGATGAACAACTTCTAGAAACGAGTTCTTTTGTAAATGAATCTAAAATTATTGATAATTAGACTACAAAATAGGAAAATGAGTATTAGGAACAAATTGATCTGAATATTAAAAATGAAAATGCAAATAATGACAATTCAAATGAAACCTTTCACCACATTAACTATATTACCAATAGTATTTTAGATTAAGTAGTTAATAATTTAAGTTAAGGTATTTTTATGTATAAATTATTTAGAACTTTTCAGTAACAAAACTGAATTCAAATTGGTTATGTCACTTCTGACAAATGAATACTCCAATGGTGAATCTAAAACTTCAACATAATATATTCAAGAATATATCAAAAGTCTTTTTGATTTTATTTTGTTAAATAATAGTGAAGATTTGATTAGGAATCTTAATATTCCTTATGGATTTAGACCATTAAGAAGAATACAATTAATGCATGGATATGATGTCGATGATGAGATACAAAATTCGGATTAAAGAAGTACTCAAATTGCTTTTCCTATTGATCAATCTGTGTTTGCTAAGTTTGAATAATAAAGATTTGAAATGAATTGTAATAGGAATGGTTATCAAAAGGACAATGAATATTACTTTGAGAATGTTCATAATAAAGCCATATTCGATGCATGTAATGAAGCATTAAATTACTAGAGATAATATTATTTAAGTAAATAAATAAAAGATGTATTAATAGACTAAGGATAGCCCTACCCTTGGGAATAATTAGAATATCAAGCAATTATTCAAAAAGACAAGTTATCTACTATATTGAGAAATATGGAAGATAAAGTTCTCAATTGGTCCAAAACCTTGGGAGGATTTTTACCAATCGAAAACACATATCATATACCTGTAGAGAAGTAGGAAGTATTGGAGGAGAAGAACTCATAGTTAACAATTAGTCAATTGCATCGATTTGAAAAGAAGCCATTCTTAGATTCTTAATTATAGGAATAAATGCAAGAAAATATAACAAGCATCAGGGATGAAAGAATCTATAAGTTATTAATTTAAGATGTAAATTGTAGTATAAATTTGATAGATAAAAGAAAATGAATTTAGATGGTATCTTGCAGAAGATGATAGAGCAGAGTTTCTAATGGAATTTAGTGATGTAATTTTCGAGTAATTAGTAGAGGAAATAGTCTCGGAATAACTCTTATAATGAATATATATTATTATAAATAATTAAAATAATTGAAAGAACAAATGATAAGCGATACTGTATTGCTTGTGTCGATTATAAGTGCAGCATCCATTTTAGTAGTGATTGGGATATTTTGTATATGGAAAAAACTGAAGATTAGAACCATTAATAATTTGAATAATAAGCCAATGCCTAAAGCATATGTTGAAATTCCAGACAAAACTGATAGACAAGCCAGGCCCCCCACAAATCCATAATAATGTTCTCCAAAAGGGGATGAAGATAGTATAGCAATAAAACGAAAAGTAAAGAATTTTTCATCTGCAGTGGTAAACAAAAAGAAAAATCTCACAATAAAAATTCCAACAAAGGAAGAAAGTTGAATGACCTCTAATTTATATCTATTATTTTTTTGGTTTTAGGAATTTGTAATTTTAATAATCATCGAAAAATAAAATTAACCCAAATGATCTTGTTGCTATTATTTGGTTTTGTTCAGTGTGTGTAATTTGGTTATGAAGTGGATAAAGGATAACAAATTTGTTTCTAAGATTACTTTTCATAAAATGATGTATTCGATTTGAAAATTAGAGCAAATACTTCTAATTATGCTGTAAAATTAGAGGAAGCAGTAGCAAAGAGATATGCTATCTTATATGAAAAGAGCGGATCTTGGGAACACAATTATCAACATTAATCAAGTCACAAAACTTCTCATTTGAAGTATTGCTTCATAAATTTGGAAGATGAAATTGTATTATTTAATGTCACATACAAAACAGGATCTGAATTAGCAGACATGTAAAAGGTAGCAAAAATATCAGATTTAAATCAAATGGGGGACAATATAAGGAAATTGAATGGTTTACTAGATGATATCAAAAGAGAAAGATCATTTCTTATCTCAAAATATGATTATATGAATAAATTGCAAGGATCAATTTCAAAGAAACAAGTCGTATTTGGTCTATTGTGTTTAGGATTGTCTTTTATAATAACTGCAATTACTCTGAATTTGATTAAGAAAATTTTATAACAAAAAAAATCATAATGAATGTTGATTAGTATAGTTTATCAATTAAATATATATTAATTATTTAAAATTATCAAGAATCATTCAATCTCTGATTACTGTTACTCTTATTCCTCTTATTATTCGTCCTATAGATCTTGATCATCTTGCTAATTCAATTACTCGTCACTCTCATTTATTTAGATTTCGATTTCAGTTTTACATAATGGGCATTGCTTATTATTCTACAACCAATTTTTTATACAACTAGAATGATATATATGCTTGCAAGGCAACTCTCTCACCTTCTCCTCTTCCTTAAATTCGAATAAACATACTGAACATCTATAAATAAATATCCATTTCTTACTTGTCTTCAGGTATATTAGCTTAATTCAATGTTCTTTTTGGCAATTGCTTAATTTGTTATTTGTTCAGTCCCTTAGGCACATTACTAATTTAATCAGTAACTTTACCCAATTTATTCTTCTAATTCCAAGAGTTGTTCATAAGTCATAGCATCTGGATCGATCTCTTGATCTTAGTATTCATGAAGGTGTTCTAACTATTGTTAATCTCCTTGGTATAAATATTGCATTAACTAATATAATTGTTGTCTTGTAAGAGGAATGTGATTCTATTACTATTATTATTAATCATCCTTGACTAAAATAATTGTGTACCTCTTAGTTCATATCCTGATTTGAGTTGTTTTGATATTTTTCTTGCATCTCATCCAATTCCTATTAGAGTTGATCAATCTATTCTTTCAATTACTTCTTTTTTGATTTCTATTTTTTTATTTTCTCTTCCAATTGATGAATTTATAATTCATAAGCCTGATTGGTTTCCTGCAGTTTATTTATCTATTCCATAAAAGATTCATTTATCTTTTTTCAATAATTTAAATACTTTATATTATTATTGAAGTCTATTGCTTAGAATTTTATTTTTCTTTATTAGTTGCATATTCAATTAATTTAATTGATGCTCATTACTTAATTTCAATTAGAATATGTTATCCTACAAATCCATATATATAATATTACTTGTTATTTTAGATCAAATTAGTTTTGCTTTTGTATTCTTCTCTCGAATTGATTATGCATACCTCTAATCAAATAAATTTTAATCATTACAGTTCCTGTTCTTCTTGTTGCTTTATTTTTAGGTGCTAAGGTTAATCACTTAATAGGCTTTAATTACGAATGTTTGCTATGCCATTAAGGAACACTTTACCTGCTATCTAAACTTAGTTTCCTTTTAACAAAGGAGAGCCCTTCGTTATTTAAGGTCTTCTAACTTAAAACTATTTCACTTATTGCAAATTCAGGATACTAGGATTTTACATTAAATTAATTAATAAAAAAAAAACTAAAAGTCCTTATTTTATAATTCTAATAACGCCATTATGTTGATTTGAGAAACAGAACAAAGTTTTACTATCATTTATTTGATGTCATCAATTTAAAGATAATCAAAGAAAATAATTAAAATCAATAAATATTTATTTATCAATTCTTCTAGATTAAAGTGACTTTATTCCTTTTTAAAGAAAATCTTGAATCTAATATTGTTCATAAATCAATTTTTTCCAGCAATTAAATCATTTTATAATCTTGTATTCCTACTTTATAATTAATTCAATAGTATTCCTAATTAATGGAAAAAAGGAAGGAATAAAGATTTTTTTAAGATTAACTACACTATCATAATATAGTTTTCCATCTAATTATGAATTTCTTGTGTTAATATATATTGATTTAATTATTGTAAATATTATAATTGCAAAGTTGTGGCTATGATTCTTTTCAAATAGAAGATTTGATTTGAATTTTAGTAAATATGAAAACCTCCTTCTTTGAAAGTGGATAAAGCCTTTTTAATTTATCTTTAAATGAACTACATATTTCTATTTTTTATATGAAATTAATTAAAAGATTATTGAATAAAAATTTATATTTATATTATATTTATATTTATTCTTTATTCATATATTTTTAATATAAAACAAAAGATAATGGTATAATAAAAAAAAGAATATACTATAAAGTGTTTCAAGTTTCTTTCCTGTAATTTAGGATTGAATTTCAATCTTAAAGTATCTAAATCTTGTAAGGAAAAACTTGAGGCTTTGAAACTATATCTTTCGCTTTGAGATTCCCAACTAAAAATTATTCGTATTTTTTCAAAGATAATAAATCCTACACTTTCCAGAAAAAGAGATTTATAAAATTAATTTAGAATTTTATATCTATTATATAATTATCCATAATCTTGATCATCAATACTAATCTTCTAAACTTTAAGTCACTCATCATTAGATGGATTGAAAATAAATCAAATAGGCTATTTTTAATAGCTTTTCATTTAATCAGTTTGGAGAGCTTAAAAGATATTTAATTTTTAATAATTGCTTTTAAACTCATTTAATTTTAAATTATAAAATAACGCACAATTTAATAGAGTATTTATTCATGCATCACATAATGCAATGTCATTTATTGCAAATTTCCCAGAAGCCTCCTTAGAAACTCGAAGCAATTTTTGAATTTTCTTAATAAAAATTTATAAGATACCTTTCTGCATAAATAGCAATTTGTAGATTTCTTTAAACATTTTTCAAGGCAATCATCACAAATTCCACCATGTTAACAAGGGAGCATTACAATTTAAGGCTCATTTTCAAAACAAATCTAACACTTTTCTTCACCTTTGACAAGTCCTGATTCTCTCTCAACTGGAGAGTTAATTTATTCAGTCTTAGCCATGAATTCAAAAGCTTTGAGTCTGGCCTTTTGATTTATAACACTAAAATTGCTATTGGATATGTGCTATATTTATTTCTACTATTTGTTAGACTCTTAAGCAAAATCAAAATATGTTGAAGATATTTGAATTAATTTTTAAGGCAAGGAAATTTTAAGAAAGTGATAAGGTAGTTTTTCCTCTTATCCAACTGGTTCTTATTATACCTCAATATCAAATCCCAAATCCTTAATGAATTATCTACACATATAATGAAGTTTCTTACATAAGTTACACTTTACAAATAGCAGTAACTACATAAAGGGAAAGATTATAAGAAACTATTAAGATGCAGAGTAATGTAGCTTAATCAGTTGTTTGGAAATGTTTTACTTCCTAATTTTGACATACAATATAACAAAACCACATTGGAATTCCACTGAATCCGCATAAATAAAATGTTAGCCAAATTCCTCCTACCAATTACGTTTTGGTGGTCTTCTTTTTGTAGTAATCAATTAAGGTTTCACCTATAGAGAGAAGAAAAACAAAATGCACAATAAAGCATATAACTAACAAACCCCAAGCAATACTAAATGTTGTATACCAACTCCAATAAATTGTACACTTCCATCTCATTGTTATTAGCATTAACTAGAGTACAAGCAGTATTTTTACTCCTTAAACCAGCTATATTTTAATGTATATGATACAAAGGAGTATTAAGTGATTGACTAATTTGTTGCAATTTTTCTAATATTAATAATGACAGATCTAATGAAGTAATATGCCATAATCACATAGCTAAAATATTGGATGTCCAATTCTGAGTAGGTGAAATTGATTAGGATTGTAGTCTTAAAAATAGCAGCTAAAAAAGTATCAATCAATAGATTCCCCACTGTAATTTTATACCTAAAATAATATATCAATGATAACTTGATTTTCAAAATTGACAGTGTTAGAATGACAATTATATCGATAATCCAATAGAACACTATCAATATTATTAGCTCATAATCCAACATCAAATAAGTAGTGTAAATCAAAATATATGCATTTGTAAATGTTAAAAGTATTAAAAGTTATGATAATTTAGTGGCTGGATCAATCGTAATTGTTGCCATTTCATTCTAAATTTATATATTAGGTTAAGGTCTAAATAGTTTATTAAATATAATATTATAAACCTCATTTAATTGCTGAAAACAAAATTATTCATTAAAAATTTTAATCATCTGAATTTAGTTTATATAGATCTTAATAAGTACATTAAATATCTTTCAGTTAAAATATAATATAATAAATAATTTATATTAGTTAAAAACTATTACATGATTGAGATATCAATTTCATAAATCAGTCTAAAACAAGCATTGGGCAATTGTTAAATCAATATTGGGATTAAATGCGGTACAATTCTTAAATATTATTAGGTGAAAGGAAGGAAATATTGTATTAATAGTTTTCATCAACTCAAAAAATAATCAAATATTCTTAGCCTCATCAATATGTATTTGATACCCAAAACACGAAATTTGTAAAATTAAAGCATAATTCATTGTTAGCTGTAATTTTATATTGAAACTCCTGATGAATAAGGGTATATTAAACTTTTGGGCAGTTCAAAATTGCTTATCAATGATGTTTAAGGAAGAGAAGTTTCTCATAAAATAGAACTTGAACATAGCAACATAATGAATTTGGTATTACGATGCACTGCTGAAGTACGCAATTCTGCAAAATAAATACCACCAATGAATAATAGGATCGATAATTATCATATGATGTCTGTAAACAAGTCAGAACCTATCATTAACAAGAAACGCTATGGAAGCCCTTAACCTAACAAAAATTAACCGTCTCGTTCTCCTTAACACAAGAAATTGCCTCCTCAACCTTAACCCCAACCAGTTGTACTATAACAACAACAACAACAACAACAATTCCAACAATAACAACAACAACCTTAATAATAGGTATTATAACCTACTAGCAGCAATCTAAGCAAAAGTAGTGCTTCAAGCATAAAGCATCAAAAAATATTAGAGGATTATAAGTAAGTGATGTAGAACAGCATTCTAGATGAAAGTGAAGAATTTCAAAATAGTCCAGATCATAGAATGGATCCTCCATAACCGATTATGGAATTTTAAAAAAATAACACTACTCCAAGGTAAAGTTCTAAATAAATTGAAGAAATTTAATTAGCATAATATAAATAAATGGTAAAGGAATTATCATTACTACTTGATGTATAGCAAGACTGCGATTCAATTGTTTATGCCGTGTAATAATTATTACAAAAATATCGAGGTTAAAATGAATAAATAATGAAAATTTAATGTGAGAATCAAATTTTGTTCAGTCAATACAACAGCTTACAGTAGCAAAAAAGTATAATTGAATCCAAGACAGATGAATTTAAAAATCAAATTAAATCAAAATTGAAAACATACAAAAGTTTATTTGATGAAAATGTTTAACTAAAAAATTAACTAAAAGAAGACCTTTAAAAAATAGTTGATCTTAATATTTAAATAAGAGAGTTAAAGGGAGATCAATTAGAAAAATAACAAATAGATTCAGAAATTCAACACTTAAAGTAGCAAATAGATAAAGTGACAATGAATGTTGATCAAAAATCGTATGATTATGCAATACTAACTGAAGAAATAAACTTAATTCAATATAATGTATGATTTATATAATATTAATTGTATATCTTATGGTATTAATTCGTAATTATTCTTATTTCAATAATAGGTTTAGTTTTAGGAAATATTCTGTTATCTCAAGACGATGAAATTCATTTTTAGAAGATATTTAAATTACTTTTCAAGCAATTGTATCTTGATCTTGATCTTAAGATACAACTTAGCTAATAATATTTTGTATTTGAGATTAATTTTTAACATAAAGATAAACGCACAATCATTAAATTTTGGATCTTATTTTTCTAGGATTTTAAAATATTTTTTTCCTAATATCATGCTTTTCCTTTATAATGTCACTTTGTGTCAAATTTTGTATTTTTACTTAAGGGAATTGTCCAATTGTAGGTTTTAATTTATTTTCTTCAATAACTGTCTTTAGATATTCACTCATTTTAGATTATTTATTCAATTTTGTTTTAGATTTGTAGCTATACATCCATTCTATGTTTGTAGGCACTGCTAAACGCCGTTTGTTATGTAAAACTTATTACATTTTGATGTCTGAGCTTGTCTTAATTCTAAATTCAGAAGGTTTGTCAATTATTAAATCATCGAGTCGCAATTAAGAATAATTTGAGTTATTGCCCTACTTCTTATTTCTTTATTCTTCTGAATGATCAGATTTCAATATACTTGTTTTTAAGGGCATAGACAAGGTGTGAAACTTTGTTCGCATTATAATTATTAGGTCAATTAATTATATAATACTCAATTTAGATCCAAATATTTATTGATATATGAATCACTGTAGATGCTGTCTTCTTAATCATATTCTTCCATTATATTACGAATGAGAGGTCTGTGTTGAAATATTTTCATTCCTGATTCATGATTTTCTAACTATTGTTAATACTTAATATAACTATCCTGAGTATCAGATAATGTATCAGTGTATTACTCTTGCTATTGTTTGTATTCGGCTTTTATATTTATTATTTAATACCATATTTCAGGGTCAGTTGATCATACTAAATTTTTTTTAATTCATTATGCAATTTAGGATTAACTTAATGTATTTCATGCATTAAATTCAATTTCTTAACTTTATGAATATTCTAGTATATTTTTTATTCCTAATCCAAACGTAGTTTATGAATTGATTTTATTATTGGAATCTTTTAAGTGATTGAATCTAAACAATGTCTAAATGACTTTTTATTGCTGTAGTTCACGTGTTGCAAAGGTGGACAATTTTCCTTTATTTCAAGCAAACACTGTGATATTGGTCCTCCTGGGATCATTAATTTTAATTAATATTCGTTAAAAATACTTTAATTAATACACATCAATATTTTCTTTTTTTCTAATAGATTTCTATTGCGCCAAATTTATTCTTTATTAAAATACAAACTTAAATGAAAGTCACAAATGAAAAAAAAAAATTTCAACAATCAACTCATTTTTTTTGATACTATCTCTTATAAAAAATTTCATTATAACTACCGGTAAAACTTTTTGCTTGCTATCTCTTTAAGAATTTATTTTACATTCTAAAAATCAGAATATCCTTTAGTTTATAAGATTTTGTTTGATATGCGAAATATAATGAAAACATAATCTGAAATAGATTTTTTCATTGTTTCTTCAATTTTAAAGAAATAATTCTAAAAGATAATTTTCTTTCTTGAAAGATTCCTTACTATTTTATGGAAAGAATAGTAAATCTTTGGTAATTCAGAAGTTTAGATTAATGAATTATCTAAATTAGAAGTATTGTGAGTCGTAATTGAAAAATGTGAAATAAAAAAATATTATAAATTTGTTCCAAAGTTAATTACACTTATTACACATTTTTTATGGGGTTATTTTACAAAAAATTAAAATTGATAACGATTATCAGAGGTTTAAAGTTACGTATGAAATGTTGATATTATTCTGCGCATATTTATAAGAGATTATCTTTATATAATAAGTATAGATTTTTAAATCTTAATTATTTTCTTGTAACAGTTTTTAATAAAATTATCTTTTTTTTTACATAATCATTTTTTAAATTAATATTATTCCTAATTATTGAAATGAACTAATTATAGAACAACCGCTGAAATGATCGCGGACACACAGAATTTTTAAATTAACATTAGAAACTTTATTATATTGAAAATTTAAGCATTTAGAATAAATTTTCTTGAAATGCCAGTGGACTTTGGTCTAAAATTTAAAATGATGTGAAATAAGTTTAATAATTTTATAGCAACCAATTTAGCTTGATTTTAATTAATAATTAATAGTAGGATATTCTTAAGGGAATTGGACTAAAAAAAGTAAAATGAAAATGCTCATTTATTGTATATGTAAAAATAGTCATTCCAATTAAATATTGAATAAATTTTCAACTAAATTCTCTTATTTAGCTTGCAGACTCTTAACTTCTTTGTCGTTGTGATATTTTTCTACATAATAATTATAATTTTTACTCATAAAATTAATTTTATCTTCTTCCTCATATCCATATTTTTCAAAAATTACGTCATCAATTAATGTATTTAATAGAATTGGTTTAGCATCTTAAACATCTTCCATTTCCTAATAATTAATTTAAAAAAATTACATTAAAAAGATCTAAAATTTAACCAAAGTATTCATGCTTAGTATATGATTCTATAACATCTATTTGATATTTCATAAGTTCGATTCCTTATTGTTTTCTTAAGGAGACTTTGATTTAAGGAATATCTTTCATATTTTATTGAACAAACGTTAATTATTCTACGAATTCTTTTCCAAATTCTTCATGCTGTGAATAAAATACAAAAGAATTCTAAAATGCTTCTTCATTAATATTCAAACTCTGTGCAATACAATTAAAGCCTTCTTAGATTATCCTAAATTATTCCTCAGCCATCTGAATAACATATTTAATATAATCAGTAAATCTTTTTTAGTTTAATGCATTTCTTCTAATTTTTCTTACATTGTCTAAATAACTTACGTATTCATCAGCAATTATTTCTTTGCATCCATCCAAAATTAAACTCATAGTTTCTAATTCTAAAATGTTTTCGTATCCTGGTTCTGTTCGATAAGTAACAGGTATATTTTTATTTATTAATTTCTTTCTACTATTAAAAGTTAAGTCTAAATATCCAGGTAAAACTCTTTATTTTTAATCCATTTCAGCAAGAAAAGACGAGTCCTCTCTTATATCTTAAGAAAATTCATTTTGCATGATATTTGACATTGAGGTTATTTTTTATTCTCTATCGATTGGACTAGGAGCATCTAATTTCGAAAGGAGTTTCTAATTGAAATCTTGCTTTTATTGTTGAGAAGATAACTATTAGGCAGGTATGAATTCGGTACTATCATTTTGAACTTGAAGCAATTCGCCTTTCTATATAATTTCGACTTCATTGTCTAATTCTTATTATTAAACCCCTTATTATAGTTGAACAGATTTTTTAGATTCAGTATTAGTTTAAATATTTTCTATTGGTTTATCGTTGCTCACATATACTTCTTCCTCTTCTACAAATTATGGTTAATTTGACCCTGTTTGAACAATCTATTCAACAACATTCTCTTATTATTATTAAGTATTCTCTCTATTTTCAACTGGTTTATCCTTACTAACAAATACCTCTTCTTCTTCTACGAATTAAGGTTAATTTGAGCCAGTTTGAACAATCTATTCAACAACATTCTCTAATTATTATTAAGTATTTTCTTGATTTTCAACTGGTTTATCTTTACTGACAAATACTTCTTCTTCTTCGACGAATTAAGGTTAATTTGAACCAGTTTAAACAATTTATTCAACTATATTCTCTGATTATTATTGAGTGTTTTCTTTATTTTCAACTGGTTTATCTTTACTAACAAATACTTCTTCTTCTTCTACAAATTATGGTTAATTTGATCCAGTTTGAACGATCTATTCAACAGCATTTTCTGATTATTATTAAGTGTTTTATTAATTTTCAACCGGCTTATCCTTACTGACAAACACCTCTTCTTCTTCTACAAATTATGGTTAATTTGATCCAGTTTGAACGATCTACTCAACAGCATTTTCTGATTATTATTGAGTATTTTCTCTATTTTCAACTGGTTTATCTTTACTGACAAATACTTCTTCTTCTTCTTCTACGAATTAAGGTTAATTTGATCCTGTTTGAACAATGTATTCAACAACATTCTCTGATTATTATTAAGTATGTTCTCTATTTTCAACTGGTTTATCCTTACTTACAAATACCTCTTCTTCTTCTACGAATTAAGGTTAATTTGAACCAGTTTAAACAATTTATTCAACTATATTTTATTAAATTTAATTTTGTGCATGTATTTATTCATTTTCATTAAGTATATTTTATTCTAAATTTCCTGATTATAGTTCGATTTATATTTCTTGGTTTCCACTTTAAAGGTTCAATTCGGCCTCAATATCTATTTCATTTAGAATATTTATCTCTTATTATTCTGATATTTATAAAGGTTCTTATTGAATATGTTTGTCGTCCAGTTTGATTTAAATATTTTAATTTTAATTATCATCTTGCTTTATTTCATTATTTTGATTTTGTATTATTTTTTCATCTATTTCTTTCACTTTTGGTACATAAAGTTCATTTGAAGATTGCTTACCTGGTTTTTTCTAAACCACTTTTTAAACCTGTTGAGGTTGCTTAACTTCATATAAATCTCTTTGTTACGGTTATTAATTTTTTTAAGGTTGCTTTTATTTTTAATTTGACTTTTATTTTTAATCTTGGGGGTTTTGGTTTTAAGGGGTAGTATCCTATGGATCTTATTCTTTTGGTTTTTGGATTTTTGGTTCATATATAGGTTTTTCTTCAAACCTCACTTATGGTTTTTTTGTATTTGCACTTTCATGCTTTTAATCTTAAGTCTCAGATTTATTTAGCAATATGGAACTTGTAGGTTTTTTTTCACTATCTTACAAATCTTGCTACTTTTATGTTTAAACTATTGGCTTCTCTGAGCTTTAATTTTCTGGATTTTTTGAAGCTGGCTTTTATTTTTAATTTGACCCTGTTTATTAACTTTCCTCTTGGTCTTTTGTTTTTGAATTCAATTCACTTGCTTTTACTTGATAAATTTCCTTTTATTTTTGCTCAGATTGTTTTTTTTCTTATACTGGCCTTCTAAATTTCTTGACTCGTCCAAAAAGATCTTTACCAGTTGAATTAACTGTTAGAACAACTTAAGTTGTGAAGAAAGGTTTTGAAGTGTCTTTATTTGTTTCAAATGTAATAGGAGGATCAGTAAATATTTTCTACTCCTTTGTCTCTTGTTAGATTGGTTTAAGGAAATTAATTTTGGATTTGAATTAAATTTATTTAGTTTCTGTTGATTTCACAATTTATTTTGGGAGTGGTTCTGACTTTTCTACAAAAACTTCATTAGATCCAGCAAATTTAGTTTTAGGCATTTTGGCTTAGATTAATTAATCTATTTCCTCTCTTGTCATAAATTTTGGCTAAACCTCAGGCATTTTATATTCAATTTTTGGGGGTGCGGCAACATATTATGTTTTGAATAACTAATCTGCATTCTTGATTTCATATTAAGTGTGTTTAGAAATGACCTTTGCTCTATGGATATCTTCTATTTATTGAATTCTCAATTTATATGCTTCCTCAATCTTTTTAGCCTCATCTTTTAACTATTAGTATTCTTCTTTTGTAAACAATCCTTTTTTTTTTGTTTATTTAACTTCTTCTACTTCTTATTAGGATGAATCTTATTCTTTGTTTCTGCAAAATAAAATATAATAATTACATATTTTTCATTTATTTTGGCTCAACAGATATCCAACCTTCTTCCTCATCATTTTGGTCATCAGCAATTTTTTTTAATTGCTTTTTTTGTTATTTACTTTAAATTTTATCATTCTCATTCTGTTTTTATTTGGACTAATCTTAGACTTAGTTAATAGATTTTTATTGTGATTAGACAATTGGTTATGTTTATTATTATTATTTTGGTTACTAAACCTTTTAAGAAGAGCTTACTATGGGTTATTGTGGTTATTATGGTTATTGTGGTTTTTAAGGTATGTTTTATTGCTATTGTTGCTATTTCTAGGGTTGAACTTATGGTTAACCTTTGATCACTTGCTACTTTGTATCCTCTTGTTTTAAGTCTAAGATTAAGAAAAAATTACCTTATGTTTATTTAATTCCTTATTACTAGTTTCTCTCTTATTATTACTATTATGGTTTTTGTTATTATTATGGGGGAAGCTTTTTTTTGTTACCAACTTCTACCCATTCTTCATCATTTTCATCCTCTTCAATCTCTACTCGAAATTTTTATTTTTCTTATTTTTATTTCTATTTTTTCTCTTATTGGGTTTAAGGATTCTAAATATAAACTAATATTTACAATCTTTTCTTTTAAAGTTGGAGCCTTTTATTGTATAGGTTATTATTGTGGTCTTTGAATTTATGAATCTTCTTTTTAAGTTGTTGATTTTTATTTGTCTGCTTCTGATTTTTTTTGCTTTGTTTATTTTGCACTTTATTCGGCTTGTAGTAATTTTTGCTTTTCTAATTCTGCTTATTTTTGTAATTCAATCTGTTTTTACTCATCTTCTTAGACTTCCTCTTCTGATGATTGAGGTGAATCTTGTTCTATTTGTTGATTTTATTCAGATTATCTAAGTTATTGCTTTTATTGTTGCTGAGATTTCTATTATTAATCACTTTTGTATTATGATTTTTTTTTTTATTATTACTTTTGGTTCAGCTTCTTGGGCTACTGGAGTTAGATGTTAACTTCATCTTGAATAAATTTTTGATACTAATTGGATTATGAAACATTATACCATTGATAACAAAATTGCTTTTGAGCTATACATGAATATACTAAAACAAATAATTTGAATAATTACCCTATTCCTATTAAAATGGCCGCATAACCTAGGAATTTTTGTAATGCATCCGACTTTCTTCTAGTCATAAGGGTTACAATTCCTATAAGTCTAGAAATAATCAAAAGAGAGTATACATGGCAAATGAAGGCAAAAGGATTTATATTCTTTTCATATTTAAATAAAATATTAATTTTTGGATAAACTCATCAAAGATTTAAATAAATGACTCATACTATTCAAATAAGAATAATCTAGAATAAAATTTAATATCAACACAAAGCAGTACAAATGAATAGGTACTGAGCAGTTGATTTCTCTAAGAAACTCTTTACAAAAGTAAAGGTAAATTCTGATTAAGGTTTTCAATCGACATGGAATAAGCATCAAAAAAATAGCAACTATTCAATATAGATCTAAAATAATCTAATTTATTTATGATCGAACTAATATGGATTAATACATATATAACTAAATTATATTAATATTATTAATTAATAAAATTCTACTTCTCACATATAATTACATTATAAAATAGTATTGTTAAACTTCATTTCAATCATTTAGATATTTATTTACCAAGTTAAATCAAAATTCTATTGATCAGGATTTAGACCAGAATCAATAAAAATTCCAAATAAAATAGAAACACAAAGTTAAATTGTAATGAGTATCCTATTTTATTAAAATAAAATATTATCTCTTTAATTTAAGAATTTTTAATTTATATTATAAATCCAACCTAGATTGCACTTTTAAGATTTGATAATACTAAACCTATTTTAACTTTTATTAATTATTTCCCTAAATTATATTAAAATTTTATTATAATTTTTAATCATATCCTTATAAATGTAAGATTGTTTAGAATTATTAATGTTCTTATTATTTTCTCATGTATGGTAGGATTTAAATAAATTTTGAAATATATTTGAGAGGAGGTTTATCTATAAATAGTATTTCCAGGTTTTTGTAAAATATTATAATTTGATCATCCATGTTAACCAGATATATTATATAGCTAATTTGTACTTGTATTAATTATTATCTTTCGGAAGGCTTTAATTTTGGTGGTCAAGTCGATCAAAGCCACTTAATTTTCAAATTTATGCTTCTTTTTATAATGAAAAAGTTTAGAAGAGATATAAACAAATAGAGCGTTATGATAAAGAATGTCAAACTCCAAATAGGCAAACATTATCTTTTAGAAAGCCTTTTCTTTCCTTTGAAAATGCTATTAATTTAAAATTTACAAAAAATAGAATTCACTTCAACATTATATATTAAATTATCTTTGAAAATTATATTGATTATTAAACATTTTCGTGAAGGAGTATGATAAAAAACTATAATCATTGTATTCATTTAATTTAAATGAAAACATAAATTTTTAAAAGATTAATTAAGTTAATAGTTTGAAGTATAAAATTACTCGATTGAATTTGGATAATTAAAAATTTTTCATCCTGAAATCAAATGTAAATAAATTTTTCCCTTCCAAACAAGTTCACCTAATGATTATAAGATCAAAAGGCATCATAGCAATTAATAATAAATGCATTTTATTTATAAATTGTGTGCTCAAATTAATAAATTAATTAATTATAATGCATTAATAATTGCCGCCAGAATAGCTTGATAGACTTATTTGTCTAGAAGCTAGAATTCATAAGAAATCAAAAGAGGAAATCATATAGGAGCAATTCTTATAGATGGAATGCGAAAGGCAGACAGATGAAAATGATCGTAATAAACTGAATGTAGATTCTAATAAAAAATCTGATGACTTAAAATGCTCATTAAACAGTGAAAATTCTCCATAAAATTTATTTCCATCCTAAAATATGAGTCCTGTTTAAAAGAAATGCATAATTACAAAGAAACATTCATAGCAAAAGAAAAAGAAAAAAATTAAAGAGGGATAATAAAAAGATGTATTTTGATTTGAAAAAATTATAGATCACTTAATATTTGCAGTTTTAAAAAAAGTAATAAAAAGTGAAGAAGTCTGAATAAAAATTAATTGAGTATTCAATATAAGATTCTCCATTTAAGAATAAAAGTCCATTACCCTATGATCCAACAGTGGAGAAATAACTTAAAGAAAAATAAAACTAATTGGCAATTTCTGAAATAAAAATAAAAGAATTAGAGACTCATAATTCTGAACTTCGTGATACAATATCGGTATGTATTAAAATAATTTATAGTCATTAACAGAATAGCAATTGAAAATGTAAGATGTTGTTAAATAATTTGCTACGGAGAATGAAAAACTTAAAAAACAATAATTATAAATCTAATTATAAGCAAATCGAGTTAGACTTGGTGAGTATGTAGTTTAGAGAGAGAAAACCGCTTTGGTTGATGTTTGGATTGATGGACAAGAATTACGGGAAGCAAAAGAATAATCAAAAAAATTAGAGAATTTGAAAGCAGATTACGAAAATAGAAAAAAAAACTCAAAGAGTAAAGAAGAATAAGAAATGAGAACCTTGAATGTCAAGCTAAATTTTTTAGTTAAAGAGGAGTAATAATTATAAGAAACAGTAGACAGACTAGAAACAGAAAAGAATTTACATATAAAATAAATTAAAAGAGTTTATGAAGAGGAACATGCAAGATTTACAAAAAATAATGACTATCCATTAATTGGTGAAAGATACTAAGTTTTGAGTCTATTAGGAAAAGGTGGATTCAGCGAAGTTTATAAAGTAAAAATTTATAAAAAATTAGGCCTATGATCTCCAAGAATTAAGAGAAGTAGCATGTAAAATCCATCAACTCAACTCGAATTGGTCGGATCATGCAAAACAGAATTACATAAGACATGCAATTCGTGAAAACAGAGTGCATAAGGAACTAAATCATCCTCATATAGTTAAATTATATGATTCAGTTGAAATTGATAAATCTTCGTTTTGTACAGTTTTAGAATTGTGTGACGGTCCAGATCTCGCTTATTATATTAAAAAGTATAAATGTTTTCCAGAGAAGGAAGCAAAGTTGCTGATTGGATAAATAATTTCAGCCATCAAATACTTAAATAATCATAAGAATAAGATAATTCACTATGATTTAAAGCCATAGAATATTTTATTCCATCTAAATGAATTGAAAATTTCAGATTTTGGATTATGTAAGGTGTTAGAAGATGACAATTCAAAATTATAGCTGACTTCTCAAGGAGTAGGTACATATTGGTATTTACCTCCTGAATGTTTTCACATGGGTGACTAACCACCAAATATATCTAGCAAAGTGGATATTTGGAGTATTGGAGTAATATTTTTTGAGATGCTGTTCGGTTAAAAGCCATTTGGCTAGGGTATCAGCTAAGAAAAAATATTAAAAGAACAAGTAAGTTTTATTTAAATCATAGATCATTGTAAAATCTCAATCTGTTACTTTTCCTTAAAAGCCTATAATTTCTAATGAATGCAAAGAGTTCATTAGAGCTTGTCTTGCCTATAATCAAATAGATCGTTTGGATGTGCATTAAGCTTCCAATCATTCATACTTTTAGAAAAAATAAAATTGATTATATTTGAATTATAAAACATTTCATTTAGCGCACTTGATCTTTGCATTAACTAACCTTTAATTGAGGATGTCTGTTAGAGTTTCTTTGGGCATTTTTCTCATCTAGTTGATAAATTAATAAAAATACTTATTCAAAATATCTCTAATCATTAAATCTAATGTTGACATCGCTTAAATTTTTATCGAAAAAATCATTGAGTTAACTAGTCTCTAATAAATCAATTAGGCCAATTAACAGTTTTTATTGTAAGTCTTCAGTTAAATTTACTTATCTTTCTCTACTTTCTTCAATATAACTAATTAATAGAGAAGTGTATAATTTCAAATTTGTAAACTATGGAGACATCAATTCATTTCTAATTTGAGTAGTTAAATCATTTTGCTGCATGTGTCTAATGACTTTTTATGCTTCATTTTTAAATGATTCAATATTCATCAATAATTATTCGCTTTCTCTTTGAAAAGTAGAATTGAATTATTTATATTCATTGCTACCTTAGAATTCTTCCCATCTGCTTTCTCTTCTGTGATCTTATTCCAGTTATTTTTTAATTACTTCTGTTTAATTTTATGCTAATTTCATAAGAAAGTAAGCAATAATAGCTGTTTTTTAGGAGAATGACAAACTGCCATGAAGTTAGACAGCGGAAACTGTATTTTATTCTAGAAGAAAGGATACCATTTAGGCTAAGAATATAACTTTGCTTCTCTCCCTTAAGAGCACCCTTAAGTTCTAAAAGTCTTGTTGTTATTATTGTTAAGGTTGATTGTTAGTAATGTTGGTTCTATCTTACAGCACTTGATTTGTAGAAGCTTATTTTTTGAGCATTTGAGGTAGGTTCTATATTGCATTAGTATTGGAACTGCAAGTAATTTATTTGGTCACATTTGGTTCTTCATAAAATGTGATTTGCATTAATTATTGCCAGTCTACTCTTTTGCGAGGATCTACTTGTAACATTGAACGTATAAGTTCTTCACATTTTCTTGAAAGTTAATTTACATGTTTTGGGAATGTGATCTCTTTGTTGTCAATTTGCATTATTAAACGAGCAATTGATTTATCTTCGAACGGGCAAAATCCAAACAAACACTCATAGAGGACTACTCCTAAGGACCAAACATCGGCTTTACAATTATAGGAACACCCTTTCAATACTTCTGGAGCCATATAAATAGGCGAACCGACCATGGTTTGGGTTAGGTCATTGTTGTGAAGCAAACTTTTGCAAAAGCCAAAATCTGCAACCTTAACGATTTGATCATGAAAAAGAATGTTGGATGGCTTTAAATCTCTATGAAGTATATTTTCACGTACTAAAGATCTAATAATATTTAATTAACGAATTTACCTGAATGCGTTGAGAATTTAAGCGAATATTTTCATTGTTTCTGGTTCTGTTAGAAATTTTCTCTTTTATAATAATGCTTCCAATGTATCGCCATTACAAAAGTCATATATCAAGTACATATTGTTTTAAGTTTTGAGCATTTCGATAAATTTAACTATATTTTGATTATCTATTTTTGACAGAGTTTGTATCTCATTAATTGTGAACTCATGTAATTTAGGCACTTCTCTGAACTTTTCCAATTTGACCACTTTGATTGCAACAATTTGATCGTTTTTCA